CCCCCCCCCCCCCGGCCCTGTCCAGGCTGCACCCCACTCCTTCCCGCGAGGCTCCTCTGGAACCAACGGTCTGCTCCCAGACGAGCTGCCTTGCCACGGTGTCTCCCCCGCACAGGGTGCCTTCCCCGCCGCCCCTCTGTCTCCTTTGCCCGGCTGGCCTTTCCTCGGAGACCGTCCGCACACTCCCACCCAGCACGCAGCCCCGCACGCTTCCACGAGCTCTCCTCGCCCCGGGTCGGTCTGGGCGAACGTCCGTCTTCCCCGGCGGACTCTGCAGCCCCCTTGCCTCCGTGCCAGCGCCCCGTGGGCCCTTCGCAGCGATGCCCTCCTCCGCCCTCCTCCCTCACGCAGCCGCCTGGCCGCTCCTTCAGCGGGCACTCGTGCGGCCCTGGCCGTGTGCAAGGCCCCGTTGTAGCTGCCGGAAACGGTCGTGAACACGACACGGAGCGCTCGTGTCCACGGAGCTTACCTGCTGGCGAGAGGACAAGCAAGAGAGACACACGGGGCACAGCTGAGGGGGTGTGCAGCGCCAGCCGGGTGCCAGGGTAGGTGCCAGGGTAGGGCCACGAGACAGAATACGGGGCGGGGGGACAGGGGACGCTTGGAGTGGGCGGGCTGGGGGGGGCCCTCTGAGAGGCTCCTGGAGGCCGAGACCTCAGTGAGCCTCCTTCGAGAAGATTAGGGGAGAGCGCATTCCAGGCTGAAAGAAGAGATAATACAGAGCCTCGGGGAAGTAACGAGGAGGTGACTTGGAAGGAGCCCTGCTTACCTGAAGCCAGGAGGGTGACAGGGCGTCCCAGGGGGTCACAGGGCGCGGTGACAAGAATGCCTCTGAGAGAGGAGTGGAGAGAGAGAGGGAGAGGCTGAAGCCGGTTGTGGAGTCAAAGATCACTCACTCCTCGGAGCAGAGCAAGCTGCACACTTACTGGCAGCGGCTAAACGGCCCACCGGTGTTCACAGCTGGGGCACAGAGGCCCCTCCCCACCTCCCCCGAGTCCCAGGGCTGTGGGCAGGAGCCGCTCCCTTGGAAGTCACTTCGATTCCGCCCAAGGCACACGGTACCCGTCACCACAGGAATGCGAGTCCTCCTATTTGGACCGAAATACGCCTATTGTTAACCTTTGCCACAGAGGGCCTCAGCCCCCCCCGCCCCCCATCACTCCCCTACCCCCCCATCACTGCCCTGCCCCCCATCACTGTCCTGCCCCCCCGTCACTGCCCTGCTCCCCCCTCACTGCCCTGCTCCCCCTGTCACTGCCCTGCTCCCCCCTCATTGCCCTGCTCCCCCGTCACTGCCCTGCTCCCCCCGTCACTGACCTGCCCCCCCCACTGCACTGCTCCCCCGTCACTGACCTGCCCCCATCACTGCCCTGCTCCCCCCTCACTGCCCTGCTCTCCCTGTCACTGACCTGCCCCCCCTGCCCTGCTCCCCCCATCACTGCCCTGCTCCCCCCTCACTGCCCTGCTCCCCCCATCACTGCCCTGCTCCCCCGTCACTGCCCTGCTCCCAGCGTACGAGAGCCCGTGTGTGCCCACTTGCGCATGCACGTGTAGGGCCACCGCCAGGGTTATGTAATGAGAGACTCTCTGAGCACACTTGGCCCCTGCAGACAGCCCTGGTGTGGCAACCATAGGCCTCATCACAGGTAGGCCCAGCGTGAACTTGAAAAGCGGGAGTTGCGGCTCCAAACAGCCTGTTGGTCAGCTTTGCTTTTTCACTCGAAATGTTCCCTTGAAACACTGAGTTTAGGTTCAAGCAAGACTCAGAGAGGTCCTCCCCACCTCATGGAGACCCGCGCTCCTCCTCCCCAGCGCGTGGTGGCTCTCTTCCCCCACGAGGTATTCACATCCCTGTGTCTGTAGTCACCACGCGGCTTGGCCACACCAAGGCCACATCTAGACCCTGCTACAGCACAGTGATGTAGTTTTGTGGGGTCTCTCCTTTTAATTATGTTCCCCATTGTTCTTTTGGGAAGTGACCGTCCAGAATGTCTGTTGAGCTCTACAGTATGATCGTTTAGTATTGGAAGGAATCTGGGCCTCGAAACTTTTCAGGCAAGGTGACCGTGACTGAGATGTGCGATGGCCAGGTGTCTTGCCCAGGTGTCCTGGCAAGCCCTAATTGTCTCGCGTTCCTGACTTCGAGGACACTTCTGTTCCTAGTGAGTTCCTTCAGTCATTGAATGGGAGGTGG